TTTGTTTAATGCCCCATAGTCAATACAAGGCCTCAAGCCTCCATCCTTCTTTGCCACGAAGAAAAAACTAGAAGCAGCAGGGGAAGTGGATGGACGGATATATCCTTTTTGTAATGCCTCCTCAATATACTCCATGGCCTTCTGTTTGGGAATAGATAGAGAGTAGATTTTACCTCTGGGCACTGGTTCATCGGGTAGGAGGTCAATGGCACAGTCCCATTGTCTATGAGGTGGTAATTGGGAGGCTTGTTTTGGGCAAAAAACTTCACTTAAGTGGGGGCATATTCTTTAGGTACATCAGTGGAGCGACTTTCAAGGGGATTCTCGATGGAGGTGGAGTTAACTGGAATTACAGGAGTTGATGAGAGGGGTCTTGGAAGATAAGGGAAACATTGTGGAAAACACTCCTCGCCCCACTTCAGTACTTCTCCGGTGGCCCAAGAGATGGAGTGATCATGGGAAATGAGCCATGGGCGCCCTAAGACTATCCCAGCGGTGGATCTCTCCAGAACCAACAAGCAGATTTCAGCCAGAGTAGGGTGCCGGATTGGGACTGGCAGCGACTGGCTCATTTCCCATCGGTCCAGAAGAAGTAGTGATTGGTGGTGAATCAGGTGCTGGTGTAGTAATGACAGGTGGACTGAGAACATGACGAAATTAATCAACCAGCTCCTGCAAGGGGTCTGCGCCTGTCTGGTTCATGATGCTAAGGTCTGGTCTTCTGTAACGGGAAGTCAGACTCCAGACAAAGAATGGTTAGAACCAAACAGGTGGGTTTATTGTACAGTTTGAAGATATCAACAACAGCAGGTGAGTATTGGCAGATATAGAGTCTTTGATGAAGGAAATGAAGATACTGATGATAATGTTCTCTTTTACCAGATTTTGGAGCACACAGAGAGTGAAGGAATGGATGAAGGATTTTCCAGGAGCTGGTTCCAGGTAAATTAAGTAGGTAAGTAGGTTGGGGAAGACACAGGAGCACACAGGGGAGACGAAGGAGATCTTGAAGCTTGACAAGGGATCGCAGGTAAGTAATGAGCATGGGTAGGAGTCCTCTTTCCACAAGGGAGATCAGACAATGTGACTGAGTGATATGTGTGCTCTTAGGCTACGTCCACACGAAGCCAGAGCTTTCCCTATCCATTCTTTTTTTCCCTTGTCTCAAAAAATATCTGCATCCACACGAAACCGACACAAAACGATGTAGTATACATGCCAGACCAGTATGTGGCGCTGTAATTCTGCCACAGAGATGCACTAAAAACGGAGAAGAAGACTTAGACTATGCGCATAAACCTTGCGCGCGGTATACAAACGAACATGGAACAATACATTTATTAATCTGTATTAATGTTAGTTAATAAAAAGGCAATCGTTCAGTGTTTGTTCATGTTTTTGTTGCTTTTACATGATGTACCAGTGTCTGACTAGGGGCGAGACATGGGCTAATAACGTCATAGTTTCAGAAAATATACGGATTCGCTGTCCACACAAAAACGCAAGGGCGCGATTTTCAGATTTATCCACTCGGGGACCGAAAATATCGGTTTCACTCTCCTAAAACGCAGAATCCGTGTGAACGAAACGCCTATACGAAACAAAATGTATGCGTATACAGCTCTGTGTGGACGGGGCTTTATAGTGCCAAGTTGATTAGTGGTGAATGACTGTCAGGTGTGCGTGCTCAGAACTCTGGTGATTGTGATCGTTGATAGGTAATAATACTTCATTACAGTACTTAAGTATTTTTTGAGAGTATCTGCACTTTACTTGAGTTTTTATATTTCAGTCAACTTTTACTCCACTACATTTCCTAATTAAAATGTATGCTTTTACTCTGATACATTTCCCACGAAGCATATTTGTTACTTACTACAAAATAGTCAGAAATCAGAAAAACCCGGACTGCAGGAAAGCAGGTTTGATGAATCAGTGGTCTGGCGCTTGCAAGTTAGACTCCTAAAAACACTTTTGCTCATAACCGCAGATGATTTAATTTTCCACTCAAGTCGAGTCTGGGGTGTGCGATACAGCATCGTCTGCGATAATTTTGGTAAGTGTTGTTGTAATGATGTGCGATTTAACATTTATCAAGTAGGCTATATCACCAGATCACACACACCGAGTGCACGCACGTTGATTTGTTAGTCTATTAAAACTCTAAATTCAAGGCATTCTAAATTGTAGACAGCAAAAATGCTTCTGTATGCTTTTTAGATTTATATAATTTAATATAGTTAACTTAATCTAAATCACACAAAGAGTACCATTTTTCTGCAGATATCAGCATGAACACATTTAATAATTTTATACAAGTTCAGTAAAGCAATGTGACTTACATTTTAGACATAATATTGCTTGTTTTTGCTCAAGTTTGCCAACGAAAATAGTTCCAAATAAAGATGACAGCACTGTTTTGCGTCTCTGAGCAATGTACGGTGTTTACTTATTGAATGAATCAGCTTTTTGAACGAATCAGTTGAATAAATGATTCAGTGATTCATTAACAGTCAAATGCTTTGTATCTGAATGAATCAGTCGTTTGAATGAATCGGTTGAATCTCAACGACTCACTCATTAACAGTCACTTGTTGTCACCTACTGGCAGTTTTAATTTCACATTTCGACTTTTTTTCATGTTTTAAATGATTTCAAATATCATTGTTCAATGTTTTATGTTAAAAACAAAACATGAGGCCTATGTATGCATCTGTAACTGCAGTTTAAATGCATCCATGTCCCCTCTGAGATACACAAACTGTGTAAATATATCTAAATGCCATTTCAGATGCAGATTCTAGAAATGTTTTCTTATGTTGGAATGAAAGAAACTACATACTGAATGAAGTGCTTCTTATTCTTAACCAAATATAAAAAACGGAAGAATTAAAACTGAACAATCTTGCTACTCAAGCTGTGTATGAACATTTTATATATATATTATACAACCCCGATTCCAAAAAAGTTGGGACACTGTACAAATTGTGAATTTCTTTTCCATTTTGCATTTACTTGTACTTTTACCTTCAATACTTAGGGGAAGTCATGGCCTAACGTTTAGAGCAGGGGTAGGCAAGTTCGGTCCTAGAGAGCCGCAGTCCTGCAGAGTTCAGCTCCAACCCTAATCAAACACACCTGAACAAGCTAATCAATGTCTTCAGGATTACTAGGGCTATAGGCAGGGGGGGTTTTTTTTCAGGGGTGGGGCTGAACTCTGCAGGACTGCTGCTCTCTAGGACCGAACTTGCCTACCCCTGGGTTAGAGAGTCGGACTTGTAACCCAAAGGTTGCGGGGTTCGAGTTTCGTACCGGCAGGGATTGTAGGTGTGGGGAGTGAATGTACAGCGCTCTCTCCCACCTTCAATACCACGACTGAGGTGCCCTTGAGTAAGGCACCCCCAACTGCTCCCCGGGCGCCGCAGCATAAAATGGCTGCCCACTGCTCCGGGTGCGTGTTCAAGGTGTGTGTGTGTTCACTGCTGTGTGTGTGCACTTTGGATGGGTTAAATGCAGAGCACTAATTCCAAGTATGGGTCACCATACTTGGCCACATGTCACGTCACGTCACTCACTTAAGTACGTTTAAGATTAAAAAATACTTTTCGTACTTAAGTACAATAAATATCACATACTTTAAGACTTTTACTCAAGTAATATTCTAAATGGTGACTTCAACTTTTACCAAAGTAATTTTCTGGTAAGATATCTGTACTTTTACTTGAGTATGGCTTTCAGGTACTTTAATACACCACTGTTGATAGGTGGAAGAGCCTGGTGTTTCCGTGACAACTGTCTACCCTAGTTTTTTTTTCAGTGCACATATGTACCGTGATATCAGGTGTGATGGCCTACAATTTAATTTGTGAGTGCCTTATTGTACTGTTTTACGGTACATTTTATAATGGAGATACTATTGTTTTTGTTAAAGGGGTCATAAGATCCTTTTTTAAAGATCATTATTTTGTGTATTTGGTGTAACAGAATATGTTGTCATGCTTTAATGTTCAAAAAACACATTATTTTTCAAATACTGTACATTATTGTAGGTCCTCTATGCCCGCCTCTCTCAAACGCTTAGTTTTCTACAAAGTCCCTCCTTCAGACAAGCGCAGTCTGCTCTGATTGGCCAGCTGACCCAGTGCATTGTGATTGGTCGAACACTGCAAGCAGTCGTCGGAAATGTAACGCCCCTTACCATAAGCGTCATCTTTCAAAATAAGTGTGAAGACAGAGCCCGAAAGGGGAACAGAGTCGCATGTGATGAAGCACACAGTGATGAAGCTGGTATGTGTTTGCAGTACACAAGCCATAGTTAAGACAGCTGACTCCACTCTGATGTGACCTCTCTCTCTCTCTCGCTCTCGCTCGCGCGCACACACACACACACACACAATGCACAAAACTCCGCATTTGAACAGTCAATAGCAAACACTTAAACTAATAAAACAGTAGCTGATTCAGAAGCACCAGATTGTCATAGCAAAGTCAGAATTACCTCTTCTCCTAGGTTCACAAACGGTCGTCCATAAAATGCATTGCTGTTCTGTTGTAAGTGATCTTAAAGATTCCTAAATGCATCTACTTTCGGAAGGCCAAATAAAGTGCTTTTGCTTTCGCCTAGAAACACAGCGTCTCCCTGACATGGCTGCTTCGACACTAACTGCGGTTATTGAAATCACGCTTTCTTTCTTTGCGTGAACATTTGGGCAGCATTATGCTAATATTTCACATAGTGAGGTAGATATGTGGGGGCGTGTTAGAACGAGCCATTTTAGGGGGGCGTGGCAGAGTCTTAACTTTGATAAAGAAAATCTCTTTTGTTTTGAGACTTTAGTCTTTGTAACTTCAGGGATCTTATCTATGCACAATCAGCTTGTAACACTCCAAAGAGAAAGGAAAACTTGAAATCGCATCATATGACCCCTTAAAAAAATTAACTGACCCTAAAAAACTGGAATTTAGCGTATAATTTTTTTCCTGTAAAAATGGGGGGAAGAGTTAAAAATGTAACATGTTTGTATTTCAGAGCTCCCTGTGGCCCATGACCTTTGGCCTAGCATGTTGTGCTGTGGAGATGATGCACATGGCGGCTCCTCGTTACGACATGGATCGGTTCGGTGTCGTGTTCAGAGCCAGTCCCAGACAGGCTGATGTCATGATAGTCGCAGGGACATTAACCAACAAAATGGCTCCTGCACTGCGTAAGGTAATTGCACCATATCAATATTAATAAACTACCCTTTAATATAAAGGTTTAAAAAAACAGTTCACCCAAAAATTAAAATGGTCATCATTTACTGATCATCAAGTCGTTCCAAACCTGTATGATTTTCTTTCTTCTGCTGAACACACAGGAAGATATTTTGAAGAATGACCCACACCTAAACGTTTTTTTCCGTACTATGGAAGTCAATGGCTGCTTTGTTACCAACATTCTTTAAAATATCATCTTTTGTCTTCACAAGAAGAAAGAAACTCGTACATGTTTGAAACGACATCAGAGTGAGTAAATGATGACAGATTTGTTTTTTGTGAACTATCCCTTTAATATTTCTGTTTATGCTTCAGTGTAATAATGTTCTGCACGAATGTCTTGTTAATGGCAGGTGTATGACCAAATGCCAGAGCCCAGATATGTAATTTCAATGGGAAGGTGAGAAACGCAAATAAGCTGATCAGGACAAACTAGTTAATCTGTATCATACTTCATTATGTTTTGTCTTGTTTCTCTCTTCCTGGTAGCTGTGCTAACGGTGGTGGCTACTATCACTACTCCTATTCAGTGGTCCGGGGTTGTGATCGCATCGTTCCAGTGGACATCTACGTCCCAGGTGTGTTTCATTTAAACAAGCTATAGCATGTTCTGTGTGTCTCTGTGTGAACGAGTGGTGCGGTTTCGTCTGCTACACGCATGACGCTCGCAGTGTTTTCAGTGTCTGTGTCTCAATATATGAGACGTGAACAAGAGAACTTCCATCTCCAGTAACACTCCAAAGAGAAAGGAAAACTTGAAATCGCATCATATGACCCCTTTAAGCTATACTTAAGTTATGGTTTACTTATAAAGGTAGGAACATTGAGTGTTGCGTTACATCCAGTATTTGACACTGGAATTATACTTTTTTAAATTTTCACAAAGTTGCACTTTAAATTTCATTTTGAATGTTTAAATGGTGCTGACTAATTAAAAATGCTACTAAAAGTTCTGTTTGAAATATTTAAATAAAAATGAAGCAGCAGTATTGCACAACTGAGTCATGTTGTGGGCTATATATTTCTTCATTAGGGGAGTAGAACATTCGTTGCAATGTTTGAGCATGATGCTTTTTAGATGGCTATCTTAAGCAAAGTGCATCCTCCTGACAAATGTGTTATTAACAGCTTATTTGTTTAAGAGGAAGAAAAATATGGTATTGGATCAGAATCGGTATCGGCAGATACTCAAATTTGTGGTATTGGTATCCGATATGAAAAAGTGGTATCAAGCCACCCATATTTTAAAATGTATTTGATGTTCAATAGGAAGCCAGTGCAGAGTTGACAGAACCGGCTAACATGGACGTACCTCCTGGTTCTAGTAAGAACTCTAGCAGCTGTATTTTGGACCAGCTGGAGTTTGTTTATTAAGCGCACAGAGCAACCACCCAATAAAGCATTACAATAATCTAACCTTCATGTCATGAACGCATGAATTAACATTTCTGCATTGAGAGCATAGGTTGTCATTAAGATGGAAAAATGCAGTTTTACAAATGCTAGAAACATGGTTTTCAAAGGAAAGATTACTATCAAATAGCACACCTAGGTTCCTAACTGATGACGAAGAATTAACAGAGCAGCCATCAAGTGTTAGACAGTGTTTTAGGTAATTACATGCGGAGGTTTTTGGTCCAATAAGTTTAATACGTTTTTTTTTCAGAATTTAGCAGTAGGAAATTACTAGTTATCCAGTTTTTTATATTAACTATGCATTCCGTTAGTTTTGCAAAAAAAATTGGAATGTTTCATTGGGCTGCGAAGAAATATAGAGCTGAGTATCATCAGCATCATGTTTCTTGATGATATCTCTCAAGGGTAACATGTAAAGCGCGAAAAGCAACAGCCCTAGTACTGAGCCTTGTGGTACTCCATACTGTACTTGTGATCGATATGATACCTTGTCATTCACTGCTATGAATTGTTGACGGTCAGATAAGTAAGATGTGATCCATGACAATGCAATTCCACTAATGCCAACATCATTTTGTAGTCTACTATAGTGTCTACGATAGTGTCAAACACAGTGCTAAGATCCAATTGCACTAATATAGAAATAAAACCACGATCTGATGATAAGAGCAGGTCATTTGTAACTCTGATGAAAGCAGTTTCAATACAATGATACGGTCTAAATACAGACTGGAAATCCTCACAGATACCATTTCTTGCTAAGAAGGAACATAGCTGAGAGGATACTGCCTTTTCTAGTATTTTTGGCAGAAAAGGGAGATTTGAGATCGGTCTATAATTAACTAATTCTCTTGGTTCAAGTTGCGGTTTTTTAATAAGAGGCTTAAAAACAGCCAATTTGAAGTTTTTGGGGACATATCCTAATGCCATTGACGAATTAATAATATTCAGAAGAGGATCTATGACTTCTGGAAACACCTCTTTTAGTAGCTTAGATGGAATATATGGATTACATTGAGAAAAACTTCAGGTGTGGGAACGCTCTGTGCATCTGGCTGCCTATCATCTATGTTCGTTACTTTACTTCATTTGTTTTTGTCCTGCAAATTGAACACTGGATTCACTCCCTCTGCTTGGCTTGACGGACTTTGGCGCTGGGCTGCTGCGAGCCCTCTCACCCCTCGATCCTTCATCTATCGGACTGACTGTGAGGCGAGTTAACACTCTTATTTCCAGTCTTTCTACTGGCTTACTGTCTGGTCAGGCAGCTTTCCTTTCCGTAAGTTTTGTAGATGTTGTGGTTCTGACTAACGTGGCTTTGCTGATAGCCGGTTTTCTCACGGCTATCACCAGCATGTCAAAGGCTTTGGTACTTGCACTGTCTCTGTCTTTCTTAATTACTATTGGATTACCTCCCAACATGGAATTTGGATACCTGTGTAGTGAACACAGGGTGCTTAATGGGCACCCATGCCTTGACTCTGTGACGTACGAGCACTGCCGCTCACTGGGGATCAAACGACGTCCGTGCTACATACATCACTCAGTCTGAAGGATTTTTAACATTCAGAACCCAACACCTTCTGTCATTCCAAGCATTTGGTCTAGTAACAGAGCTCTGGTTATATCAAAATGTCTACTAAGAGACTGTCACCTACTGCAATCACTTGTCTAAATAAAAAAGACAGACTCAAACATCAACTTAACCGGAAATATCGGTGTACTGCAAAACCACTTTGCTCTGCTGAACTATCGCTCCATCTCAGACAAGGGCCCCTATCTAAATGAACTAATTGCAGATACTGACTTGGATATGTTATTTCTTACCGAGAATCGAAATTACTAAAGATTCTCAGGACCCTAATATATATTGCCTATGTACCAATATATAATATACACGCTTGTTTCGATCATAAGAAGGCGAATTCATAGATACGAAGCAAGGTAGGATTACATATAGTGAAAGGATGACAGGAGTGTGTTTCGATTATAAGCCTGCATCACAGTATACAATTTCAAAGACAAAATACACAATGACAATAATATACCCAATGACCTGAAGGATCATGTGTTCATTCAAAGAAAGGTTTTCCTATTAATTAATTAGCAAAGAAAAGTCCTTCCCTTGTGGATTTTCCTTATGGGCAAGGAAGCGATTTTCTTCACCTAAATTCCAGGAGGTCATAAATGTATCGGGTGTCAGCATTGCTATGGAACCAGGGGCCTGTTCAGCTTCCTGGGGTGTTACAGAGTATTTGTTAAATCTAGCTAACAAAATATATATTGTGTGTTTGAGTGGTCCAGACGCTACAGTATCGATCATGGAAGTAAAGAATTTCATAAAGTCATTACTGCTGTTCTGCTGGGGTATGTGTCTGTGTCTGTTGATGCTTTATTATTCATTAATTTAGCCACTGTATTGTATAAATGCCTGGGGTTGTGTTTGTTTTCTTCTAAGAGAGACGAAAAGTAAGCAGTTTTTAGAGCTTTTCTATGAGTAGAACTACCTTCCCGCCATGCAATATGAAATACCTCTAGTTTTGTTTTCTTCCAGCTGCGCTTCATTCTCCAGGCTGCTCTCTTTAAGGCTTGTTATACCATGATATCGGACAGTTTTCCTTAATCTTCTTTAAGCGTAAAGGAGCAACCATATCTAAAGTGCTAGAAAAGAGCGAGTTTATAGTTTCTGTTACAACTTCATGTTTTTATGAGCTACTGGAGTTGCTAAGGAATTGAGACAAGTCAGGAAGATTATTTACAAAGCAGTCTTTCCATCACTTCTACCATATTTGTAACAAGGAGTTGAATTTGTAGCTTTAGCTATATGGATATTTCACGAGACTAGATAATGATCAGAGATATCATCACTGCTGCAGAATTTCAACTCCATTCATATCAATTCCATGTGACCGTATTAAGTCTAAAGTATTATTACAACAATGAGTAGGCCATGACATATGTTATCTAACCCCAATGGAGTTCAGAATGTCTATAAATGTTGATCCCAATGCATCTTTTTCATTATCAACATGGATATTAAAGTCACCAAAAAATAGGACTTTATCTGCAGCCAGCACTAACTTCAGATATAAAATCAGCAAATTATTTGATAAAGTCTGTATGGTGCCCTGTATACAGTAGCCAGTACAAACATCACAGGGGATTTATCATTAACACTTTTTTTCTCTGGATAATATTATATGAAGCACCATTACTTCATACGAATTATACTTGAAACCAGACTTCTGAGAAATACTGAACATATTACTATAAATTGTAGAAAACCTTCCCCTTTACCTTTTTGGATGCAGCTCATGTTTATAATAGTAATATTTTTGGGGTAGACTCATTTAAAATAATGTAATCATATGGTTTTAGACAGGTTTCTGTCAAACAGAGCTCATCTAAGTTATGATCTGTGATCATATCATTTACAAAAATCGCTTTTGTAGAAAGGCATCTAATATTCATTAAGCCAAGCTTTATAATTTGTTTATCTGTATTATGTCTGTGAGTAGCTTGGGCAGTGGAATGAAACAACATGCCTTGGAGAATCAATCTATCATAGGGAGGAAGGCAGTGTGACCCATGAAGTTAGGGAGGTCAGTGACTAAATCTATGGCAATGTGTGGCCAAGGGGTTGAGGGACCGGTGATTTATGTAACAGTCCAGCTGGTAGTTGTCAAGAGAATTTGGAGATATTACAGGTAGGTCAGTCATGAATAAAGGTGAGGTTGATTTCTGGTGTAGGTGGATCTGATGCATGAGCGTCCATGATCTCAGTTGTAATGTCCCATGGGAAAGATGATAGGTTTGTTAGTTGGGGGTAGTAAAGAGGATTCGTACTACTGAGAGAAAGCATCTGCCTTGGTGCTCTTGAAACCTGGTTGGTAAGTTACCATGAAATGTCTCCAGGTTACGTATGTAACCATGGTTCCCCGAAGGGAACGAGACACTGCGTCTAAATGCTTTGGGAACGCCCCGACGAGACCACGTTCTGAAGCATGTACTGTATGAAATCAGTCCAATAGAGAAGCGAGACCTCACGAGCGGGGTGATGTGAGCAACCAGGAGGCATAAAAGCGCATCCAGCAAGCGCACATGTTTGCTTCTGCGAAAGCGAGTGCCTGCAGGGAGTATGGCAGAGAGACGCAGCATCTTGTTCCCTTCTGGGAACCATGGTTACATACGTAACCTGGAGACGTTCCCCTTCAGGAACTCGAGCTGAGTCAAAACACTCTGGGAACA